ACCGGGCATGTGGTGCACCTAGCAATGCCGCGCGCCTGCGTTGCTAACTTTCTTTCCTACGCATGCGGCGGTCAACCGCGTTCCCTTGCTTTCCTTCTCTCTCTCTCTCTCTCTCTCTCTCTCTCTCTCTCTCTCTGCCTCCTGCGCAGTCACCGCTCAGCGCGGCTTCAGTCTGGCAGCCCACCGCGATTGCCCCAGCCAAGCGTTCCACTGAAGAACGCCCGGGATGCTTCATCGACGGCGCCTCCTTGCGGGCCCCTGCAGTAACTAGTGCGCTGCTAAACAAGAAAGCGCGCCTTGCCTGCGCCCGCCGGCGCACACGGGGCGGTGCGCTAGCCCAATGGAAGACCACATCATCGTGATTGCACGCTACTTCGCGGCTGTACGAGCCCAGCTTTACCCGGGACTTCACGTGGAGGAGAACGGCAAGCTGGTGCCAGTGGCGGGCTTACTGAGGAAAGCTTCGGTACAGAGCGCCTGGCGTGCGCGTCAGTGCACGCAGGGTTATGGTGAGCTCTCCTCCTTCTTCTCCTCTTGCTTCAGCGGTTAGCTGACTCTCCCTCTCCTGTTTCACTGGGGCGTTCCCTCGGGGCTGGGGTTGCCGCCAATGCCGCTGTCGGACGGTGCCCCGTCAGCTGTGTTCTCGCGCAAAGTATTGCATTGGGAGCGGGCGGCGAGGTGCCCACCAGCTGCCTTAGGCCGGCGCCCCCCGCCCCCCCTGCTGATGGCCGGAAGGTTTCAGTGGGGTTCCGTTGCTCGCGTCTCCTTTCTTCTCCTCTCCTTCCGCGCGCGTGCCTGGCGTGCATTTCCTTTCCTCCCCTCCTGCACCCTAATGCTGCAGCGGTTAGCTGCCACGCCGGGGTGCCCTCCTCTCCTTTGTTTCACCAGGTTTATCCCGCGCGGCTGGGGCTGCCGCCAATACCGCTGTCTGATGGTGTTCTGGCAGCCTGAATTCCATGCAAGGATCACGTTGGGAATGGGCGGTCAGGTGACCCTCGGCCTGCCCCTGGCTGGTGTCGGCCCCCACTGGTGCCCGCGAGGGTTCCGTGGGGTCTCGCTACGAGTTCCATGCAAGTATCACATTGGGGATGGGCGGTCAGGTGGCCCCTGGCCTGCCCCTGGCTGGCGTCGGCCTCCCTGGTGACCGAAAGGGTTCAGTGGAGTCTCGCTACGCTGCCGACCCCTACGGTGCAAGGACTTCGGCATGTGTGGCTCTGTGCGCCCGTCGGCAGCTTCTTCCTGCAAGGACTTTGCTGTCGACATGTGCCACTGCTGTACAAACGAGAAGTACTGCCGTTCGCAGTCCTATCTGTGACGAGGTTCCCCCTCTTCGCTCTTGCGCTGACACGATGCAGTTGTGTCGCCTACGGCACGGACGTCGTCCAGGTGTGCCTGTCGGTCCTGCTCGTCTCTGACGGTGCCTTGTGCCGACTCGCACCGAGTGATGGACCTCTGCGTGTTTATGGTCGCGCCGCCGCGCCATGTTGGCTGCGTTCACTTGATGGTCGCCACCGGGATCTCCACGCCGTCGGGTTGGGAGTGTCGTTTCTGGCTCTTCCTCTGAAAGGCTGCCCGCGCGCTCGCTTCGCTTGCCTCTCTTTTCTTGCTGGCTAGTCGCGGCACGACTGGTGTTCGGACGGTTTTCGACCTGCTTCGCGAGCCCGCAGACCAAAAAGTATCCCCACCAGCGGCTCCGCCCGCAGCCCGGGTCGACCTTTGACACCGCCTGCGCCTTCGCTTGCAGTTGCGACAAAAAGTATCCCCTGCCAGCCTCTCTGTTTTTCCCTGAGCTGGTGGCACAGCCTGTCCCTATTTGCCCGGCGTTCGACCCGCTTCGCGCGCCCGCGTACCAAAAAGTGCCCCCACCAGCCCGTCCAGGGACGGCGTGGTATCATTCGGGTACCGCGTGGAGCCCCAACGACTTGGAGGACTCTTGGATGCAGCTCTCGGAGTCGTTTGGGATGTTTCCTGGGGTGCTCTCGGTGGCTTCTAGGGGCGTCTTGAGGGCCTCTTGGGGGCCTCTTGGGGCGTTTGGGGTGGCATCCTCGGGGTTTCTTTGGGCCTTCGGCACCGTCGGAGGCCTCCTCTAAACCATCTTTGACGCGGCCCTTCTGTTCGCGCGGGGCCTGCGATGCTCAAGAGTTGAGTCGGGTACCCCACCAGGGCTCGTGTCGATTCCCCCGACTCGATTCGATCTCGATCGGTTCCGTCTCCAATTCGATTTGACTCTGCATTCCAGTCTGGATTTCGGTCTCTCAATGGAGGCCTGATTAGCCTGCCGACTGCCGCCGATTCGACTTCTCTCGATGTGGCTGCGACCTATCGTTAAGTCTGGCGTGCCCCTCTACAGGAGGAAAGGTCAAACATGGTATTAAAGAGTCAGGGGGCGATTGTTGTAATACTGTTGATTCGTGTTGGATTATTTTGTGAATAATGTTTATTTTCGTCCAAAATCCCCCTGTGGGAGGACATCCCCGACCTAAACCTATCGATTTGACGTTGGCCCCCGCGATCCGCGGTCCCTGCCTGGCCCCGCCTGGCCCGTCTGGGTCCCTGCGTGCGCAGCGGGCGCGCGTTCTCGGCTGGTGATCTCCCCCGCGGTGCTTGTCCACGGCCCCCCAACAGATTTTGTTCATTATGTAGATTTATCTGCCGTCTTGAAAGCAAAAGAAGAATTGGGAACAAAAATTAAGGCACCCGCTGAAGTCGCCGTTTAAACGATCTATGCCACCTTATTTGCCACTAGTTCACAACATGGAATTCTATTTTTCCTCGCGAGGCGTGCCCAGACGTGCGATGTCTAGATGTTTGTCGGTGCAGTGGAGGGCGCCTCATCAAAAGACCAGGTGCTCTTCGTCAGGGTACCCTGGGTTTCTTCGCTCCGCGTGCTGCGCGGTGACTTCCCGCGTCCGTCGAAGAAGCTGCTGCGTTCAGGGTGCTCTGGGTTCCCCCCCCGAGTGCATCTTGTGCGCGGGTTTTCAGGGCCGGATTTCTTGCGAGGGTTTCTTGCGGCCGCGTCCGCTTTGTATACGGGGTCCCTGGAAGTCCCGATCTTTTCCCCAGTGACGGCTTTTCGCCTTCAGGGCACCCCGCCCCCATCAGCCAAACAGGGGTGTCACCGAAAACGCGCCCAAAGTTGTCACCGAAAACCTAGCGCGACCGCAACTGGTTGACCGAAATTGTAAATCTGACTGGCCCAGGGCCAGGGACTTCGGTCACACTTCGGGCGCGGTCGAAGCATCTCGGGCGCCGCTATCGGTCGCACTCGGGCAGATGTTCGGGCATAGTTTCGGTCACTGCACCCTGGGCGGCCCCAGACCTCCGTCGAACCCTGTTCCCTGTTAGAATCTGTGCAATACTCTTCGGTTTGGGCCCCCAGGGGCTCGCTGCCACAGACCATCATGTGTGTTGTTGTTGGTGTTGTTATTGATATTGTTATTGTTGTTGTGTCTGCTGTTGCTATTGTTGTGAGTATGTTGTGGTGGTTGTTGTTGCTCTTAGTGTGGTTGTTGTGGTTGTTGTTGCTGATGTTGCTCTTAGTGTGGTTGTTGTGGTGTTTTTTTGTTGTTGCTGTTGTTGTTGTGGCTGTGCTTGCTGTTGTTGTGGCTGTTGTTGTTGCTGTTGTTGGCTGGTGTTGTTGTTGTTGTTGTCGTTGTTGTTGGTTGTTGTTGTTGTCGCTGCTCTTGTTGTTGTGCTAGTTTGTGTTGTTTGGTGGATGTTTCTGCTGCTGCCGTTGTTGTTATGGTTGCTGTTGTTGCTGTTGCTGATATTGTTGTGGTTGTCATTGTTGTGGTTGTTGTTGTGGTTGTGCTTGATGTCGTGAGTGTTGGTTATTTTGTTGTTGGTGGTGTGGTTGGTGTTGCTGCTGTTGTTTCTCATGTTCTTGTGCATGTTCATGCTTATTGTCATGCTGATGTTGTGCATGCTCATGTGCTCATGTTGTTGTTGTTGCTGGTGCTGCAGTTGGAGCTGTTGGTGCTGTATCTGGTGCGGTTGTTGTTTCTTATTCTACACAACGAAATCTCTGCCCAAGCACGCCGCCCCGTGCGCAGGAAGGCCTGGGACCATCAGAAGTGGATCTGGGGCGAAGATCGGGGGCGGCAGTGAGGGGGGTGATGATTAGGGAGGGGGATATCGTGGCAGGGGCCATGATGTCTTCCCAGGTCTCATGTCGCCTCTTCTTATTTCAATACGTCCCTGGCCTCCCCCTCCCTGGGCCGCGCACATGCCGCCGGCCATGATTTGCAACCTCCCTCTTGGACGCCACCCTCCTGGCCGCCCCCGATGGGGCCGCAGGTGTCTGGGAAGGGGGGGCGGCCCGAGAGTCGATGCGGCTGCCCGTGTGGTCCCAGGCCGCCTCCTCACGCGGTGCCCCACGTGCAGTGGCCTTCCTGCTTCCAGCGTTACGTCGGGCGTGTCCCTCTACAGGAGGAATGTTCAAAAATTATATTAAAAATAACCTGGGGACGATATTTCGACCGTTCTTGAACATTTTCGGTTATTTCTTGCGCTATTTTCTATCTCTCGTCCAAAAAATCAGCCTGTAGGGGGACATGCCCGGCCGAATTCCAGCGGGCCATGGGAGTCAATGCGGTGGCCCTTCCTGCGCATCGTGGCACGGAGTGCTGCGGCCCAGGAGTCGACGCTCTTTTTGTGGGGCTCGCGTATTCAACTCGGCTGAGGCCCAAGAGGCGACTCCGTCGCCGACGCTCCAGTGGCCTCGCAGCCCCTGGCCTTCGAGTGCGGAGGTGGTGCCCAGGAGCACTCCCCCCTCAAATCGATTCAGTCCCGAGCCGTGCCGATCCGTGACGCTCCCCCGAACAGACAGGAAAAGTCTTCAACCTACGACTGTTGATCTACCCTTGGCGAGTCGAAACCAAGGCCGCGGCACGGACGAAGCAGCTGCTGTCTACAAGCAACCTGGCCCAGATCCACGAAGGCAACCACCAATCCACCGTTTGGAAGCGACGCGTACGGAAGCTTTTTCTGCAGCATCCCAGGTGTGGTGGGAGCGATGCCATCACTCTGCGATGTGGGCAGCCACAGCGTCCTGGGAGCGCCTGGCCGCCCGGGAGCCGCACGCGGCGCTGGTGGCTACGTGGGAGCGCTGCCAGGGCGGCGCGGCGCGGGCCACCGCGGCGTCCTGGGAGCGCCTGCCGCAGCGCTGGCAGGCGGCGCTGGTGGCTGCGTGGGAGCGCTGCCAGCGCGGCGCGGCGCGGGCCACCGCGGCGTCCTGGGAGCGCCTGCCGCAGCGCTGGCAGGCGGCGCTGGTGGCTGGCGCGGCGTGGGCCTCCGAGCGGCTGCCCGCCGGGGGCCAGCCCGCCGTGGTCGCGCTGGCGGGCGTGCTGGCTCTGTCCGCCCTGTGGGCCGCGCGCCCGCGCCGCGCGCTCGGCGGGGCAGCCGGCGCGCCGCCGGCGGGCGAGGCGGACGGCGCCCACGCCCAGGGGGCGTCCAGGGCGAAGCCGCAGCGGCGCTCGCGGGCAGACTCCCCGGGGCCCGCTGCGGCAGCCGTGGCTCCGCAGCAGGCCACGGGGTGGGGTGCGGCGCCGCCTCTCGGCCAGACGCAGGAGTGGCCCGTTCGCTGGAGGGGCCTCCCGGTGCGGGCACGCGGGGGCCCCCCAGAGGGCCGAGTGCGATGCGACAGCAGCGGCCTGCGCGCTCCAGTGCGGCCTCCCCGCGGCCCCCGAAGGTCGCGCACCTCACAGGGCACTCTTGCCTGGGGTCACTCTTGCGTGTGGCCGACTCCTCTCGCTCCGCCTTTCTGTCTCGTCTCCGGGAGGGTGCCCTCGCCGCCACGGCCGGGTTCGCCTCGAAGTCCTGGTCAGAGCCCCAGGCTCGAAGCGCAGTGGGCACATCAGACAAACAGACTGCCTGCCGGCAGGCAGCCCCGCGGAGAGTTCTGGTAATGGCCCTGGGGACCAAGAGAAGCTCTGAGATACATCAGAAAGCACGAACAAACACCGACGGCACATTTGCCCTTAGGCCTTAGGGTTCTTATATCAAGGTTGCTCATCGGCTGCCTCGTTTAGCTGGTAAAAGCTGGTCTAATAATGAACTGCTCCGCTATCGGGGGCGCCTGTCCTAGGGCAGACCCCAGACAACCACCGTAGAAGTATAAATTCTAGACGCTTCGCGTAAACCCACCAGTCGTGAGTTCGTTCCTCACTCGCCGCAAAAAGAAGACTTCATCACGTGAATCGTTCGCGGACATGGTCGTTTCCGCCCGGGTTCACCTCAGCCTGGTGCGGTCGGCGGGAGGGCCCACGCCTCCCTCGACGCAGTTCGTCTGACGACCGTGTTCAGTGGTGCTTTAACCTACTGGTTGCGTGCAGATGTCCATGAGCCCTAGTTGCTCCGTGAGTGGCGTGCGGTTCTCTCCTCCTCTGCAGGTTCCCTCCGGCGTCGGCTTTTGGCCCGCTGGATCTTCCTGCTCGGTGCCTGGCTTTGCTGGGCCTCTTAGGTTCTCCGCTTGCGTGTGCATCCCGGCGTTGGCCCGCTGGTAATTGTCTCGCTTGGCTTCACGCTTGCTCTCTTTGGCGCTTGTGCCCTCCGGCGTCGGCTTTTGGCCCGCTGGCAACTATCTTGCGTGTCCGCTCTTGCTTGGTCCCCCTCATGTGCATTCCAGCGTTGGTTCTTGGCCCGCTGGCAATTCTCTTGCGTGCTGCCCATGCTCGATACGACCCGCTCTCTGGAATCGTCCTTGGAGCCGCAGATCCAAAAAGTAAACCCACCAGTCGGGAACCGGGTGTGCGACTTTGGTGGCACCACTCAGTGCACCAGTTCGGGCCGTTCGGCACGCTTGGCAGTCGTCGCAGATACTGGCTCGTCGTCACCCTGGTCCCATCCTGGTATGCAGCCCGCGCCATTGTGGCCGCGCCCCAACCTCGGTTGGTCAATGTGCGCGTTGCCCTGGCCCAGCTCCTGGCAGCCGCAGCCTGCACCCCCACCCGCCGGCCCTGCCCGCCGTGGTGATGCCTGAGGCCCCGCCGCGGCCTGCTCTGACTCGACTCGCCGTTTGCGCTTTCACTTGCGGCTGCTGACAAAAAAGTAAACCCACCAGTGCTCGTAGCCCGAGATGACTTGTGACGCCGCTGGCGCCTTTGCCTGCGGTTGCGACGACAAAAATAAACCCACCAGTCCATTCAGTAACGATGCCCGGACGGGTTGCCCTGATCGGGGATGGGAAGTACAATGCAGCGGAGTAAAGGGCTGGGTGAGACGTCGTACGCCAAGAGAGGAGGATGGAGGAATAATCGGAGGAGGAGCAAGAGGAGGAGGAAGAGGGAGGAGGAGGAGGAGGAAGAGGAGGAGAGGAGGAGGAGGAGGAGGAGGAGGAGGATGAGGTGGAGGAGGAGGAGGAAGAGGAGGAGACGGAGGAGGAGGAAGGAGGAGGAGAGCGTGGAAAGGAACGAGGAGGAGGATGAGGAGGAGGAGGAGGAGGGGGGAGGCAGGAGTGAGGAGGAGTAAGCGGATGATGATATTGATGATGATGATGATGATGGTGAAGATGATGTTGATGATGATTGTGATGATGATGACGATGATGGTGAAGAGGATGTTGATGATGATTATGAGGATGATGAAGATGCTGATGCTGATGCTGATGCTGACGATGATGATGATGATGATGATGATGATGATGATGATGATGATGATGATGACGGTGATAGTGATGATGATGATGATGCTGGTGATGCTGATGAGACGGATGATGGTGATGATGATGATGCTGTTGCTGATGCTGGTGATGATGCTGCTGCGGATGATGCTGATGAGGATGATGACTATGATGAGGATGGTGAGGATGATGAATGAGGATGAGGATGAGGATGATGATGAGGATGAGGATGATACTAATGATGATGCTGATGATGCTGATGATGATGATGATGATGAGGAGGAGGAGGAGGAGGAGGAGGAGGACGATGATGAGGATGAGGATGAGGATGCGGATGGGGAGGCTGAAAAGGATCAGGAGGAGGAGGAGGAACAGGGTGAACAGAGGAGTGAGAAGCTTCTTGAATGCCTCTCAGAGTCTCTTGAATGTCTCTTGGAAGCTTTTTGGAGGTCTCTTGGAGCGTCGTGGGGGCCTCTTGGCGGTCCCAGGGGTCTCTCGGAGCGTTTTGGCTGCCTCGGGAAGCCTCTTGGGACCTCTTGGAGTTCTTTTGGGAGCCTCGTGAAGGTCTCCTGGGCGCCTCTTGGTGCCTCCTGGGCGCCTCTTGAGCCTTGGGAGCGCTCTTGGGGCCATCTTGGAGGAGATCGATCAGAACATATGGGAGCTTTAATTCCGACCCCCCCCCCCCCCCCCCCCCCCCCCCCCCCTCGGGAGCCCACCAAAATTGCATCTGCGATCTTGGGGCAGTCTTGGAGGTTTATTGGACCTCTCTTGAAGCCATCGTTGGGCCTCGGAAGGCCATCGGCAGCGAAAAGGCGAGAACTACAGTAATGTTCCTTACGTTTTTGGAGGATTTGGACCTTTTTGGCGGCCTCCTGGGGAGGCTCCGTGGCCACCTGTGGTTTTCTTTGAGCGTTCTTAGGGCCTCTGAGAATATGAGGAGTCATAATGAGGCATCTTGGGCTATATTGGGCCATCTTGGAGGTCATCTTGAGCTCTCTGAGGCGCTATTGGAACCGTCTTGGGCCGTCTTGGACGCTCCGTCTCGTCGCGACCCCCCCCCCGTCCAGGTCCAGGGGAGGGGGCAGGGGGAGGAGTCGAGCTACCCACCCGCCCGCAAGCCGCTCAGCTCACTCCCACCCGCCCACCCTACATTTAAGTAACACCCGAGCCTGAGCATGTTCAGCTGTCGTCTTTGGATGGGCAGCTACTGGAACCAACGCCGACCCCAGGTGCGCGACGCTTGGGCGAGGTGCGCCACGCGTGCCAGGGGCCCCACGCGCGCCAGGCAACCCTGGGGCCCGAGCGTGCCAGGCACGCCTGGTGCGCCAGATGCGCCACGTGCTCCGAGTGCGCCAGGTGTGCCGCACACTCCAGCCGCGCCAGGTGCGCCACGTTCGGGGCACGTGCAGACTGCGTCAGGTGCGCCTGCGCACGCCACTGCACACATTGGGAAACATGTCGGCCCCTGCCATCCTTGTCGAAAACCGATGCCCATCATTGTGTCTGGTTGGCCTGCACAGAGCAGGCCACGCGCCACCACCCCCTCCGTTCCTGTCAAACACCACTTGACAGTGATCGCGGGATGGCCGCGCACGATCCAGATTCAGCCGCGAGGTGCATGTTGCATTTTTTTTGGCCGGGATGGTAGTCCTGCGCACAGCAAGGACTATGTTGACATCCCCGCCGTCCTTGCCAACAACAGTACAACTTGCTCGCGGGCCTAAAGAACATGACTCGAGACTTTGCCCCAAAGTGCACTTTGCACTGTTCTTTGAAAGGGATGGTGGGGGAGGTCGCATCAGGTTGGCCGCGCATGCTCCAAATGTGGAGGCAGATTGCTGTTTGTATTGTTTTTAACAGGGATGGTGGGTGGCGGGTCGGCATGGTGTCGGCATGGTGCCTGGTTGGCCCCCGATCGCTTGGGGAGGGGGTGTATATTAATAAGGGCCCGAAGTGGAAGAAGGGGGTTGGAAGAGAAAGCTGTCTAGACCACCTACGCCCAGAGGGCTGGTGAAATTTCCCAGCCGCCCTGGGATAAGTGTTCCCGATGACGGCAAAGTTGATGTTATACCGTTCTTCGCCCGCAAAGTACTTCTTGATTCCGCAGGATAACCAGACGAAAGTCGATGCGGCGTCCAGCTCCAAGCCCGCGGCGGCGAAGCTGGAGGGCCAGGCTGTGGCCAGGAAGGTGGCGATGGCGCCCACACCTTCGCGGAGACACTCCGCGCCGCAGCGCGCAGACTCGCCCGCGCCCTCGCTCCCGCCGACCAGCACCGAACTATCCCTGCTTGCTGTGCTGAACCATGGTTCGCACGAGGACCACCATGATCCAAAGGGGTCTCGTAGAACATGGATTCTAGATGTCACAACTTATTCCAGCATCTCGGGCCCCTTTTCGGGCCTCAACCGTCAAACGAAAAACCTATGATGAAAAGCCGGCCCAGGGGAGCTACGTGGTGTCCAGGATCCGTATCAGTCAAGAGTTTGTTTTGGGTCATGGTAGAGAGGACTTGCTGTCCCTGAAGGGAATCGGGGACAAAACGGCCAGGGCGATCATGAAGTACAGGGAGAATGGCGAAATTCATAGGTTGGACGAGCTCGTGAAGTCGGGCACGGTGCACAGGTTCTCCATCCAGACCCTCATCCGCAGCGCGGCCTGATGACGTCGCACCCACCCGCGCAGTCAGCGCGGCGCTCTCTGTGGCTTGGGGGGGGGGGGCCTTGGGAGTACCCTGGATCGGAGATCCAGGGTGCCCAAAGCTGACCCTGGAGACTCTGGAGGTGCGGGGGCTTGGGAAGGGGGCTTGGGCGGGGGCTTGGGAGGGGGGCTTTGGAGGGGGGCTCGGGCTTGGGCGCTCACTGCGCTCTCTGGATCTCTCGCGCCCTGCCTGCCCTGCGTGCGACCCGCGCGAGACCTGCGCACACGGGCGTGCGTGCGAGTTTTTCCGGGCCACGGCATGGCGAGAGCGCGGCGTCAGAAGAGCGGCAGCAGGAGGCATGCGGGAGGAAGGAGGGGAGGAGGTCAGAGAATGCATGTGAACCCCACACCCCATCCCCCACGATTTCTACAGGGGGGGGTGGGGGGGGGGGTCATTTCGCTCGGGAGCCCCCGAACGAAGTGACACCCCACCCCCACTTCGAAGTCGTGGGGGGCGGGGGTAGGGTTCTCATGTTGTTTGTCACCGGGGAGGGAGAGAGGAGAAGGGGAACGCATGACAAGTCAGGCGTACGGTGGTGGCAGGAACGAGGAGCACTCGGGGAGTAATCGAATCTAGTACATGTCACGGTGTGTCCGTGACGCGTTATCGCCCTTATTCACGCCGCGCGGTCGCAGGCGGTGCCTTGTCCTGTTGCCGTGAACATGTTCGGGCCGATTAGGCTTTGCATCTTCAGTCGCACCGCAGTCTTGCAGCACAGATGGTCGCATTGATTAATACATGGCAGCACCACAATTCTGCTGGCTTGCCATCAAGAGCCACCAACCGAACTCATTTCCAAAGCACTACCGATGTGGAAACTAGTAGTCGAAGAGGCACTGTATGCTCATTGGAGGCCCAAATCCAAGCGCGAGTCCCGGAATGAGTCTGTTGCTCCTTCATCATCGCCATCTTCAGCGCAACGGCTACATCTCCTTGGTGCTGCTGGTTTCTCTCCATCGGCATCCTCGATCTCGTATGTGTTTACATCCTTGTCCAGCTACTTGTCGCCAGGGAGCCCGTCGAAATTACACACGATGCCCTGCTCGAGCGATTCGCCGCACTCTGCCCCCAGGGGGCAGGGCTTCACCGAAGCGGGCTTCCCTAGGTCCCCGCCCCCCCCCCCCTGCATGCTCAGATACACCACGACTGGGTTGACGCTTCTGCGACTGCATTGCCCAGGGGAGGCCTTGACTTGGCCCTGGTTGATCCCGCCCGGCTTGACTTGGGGACACCTTCGCCTGCGCAAGGACGTCCAGGTTCTGCATCTTCTGATTCATGCCCGAAAAGACAGAGTTGCACAAGCACAAACTTATGGAGCTCCACGCGGATTTCTTGGATCGGTGCCGGATCCCCCCTCCCTGACGCGTGGAGCGCGCCGGGGGCGGCGCCGGAGGCGCCGCCGGGGGGCCCAGCGCTGATCCAAGCAGTCCGTGCGGAGTTCCGAAGATGTTTGCTTATGCTGTCCGTTCCTCCAAATCGTCGCTGATAGAGGCTCCGACGGTTGCACCTGCCCTCCGACGAAGGCGTCTATACACCACCACCGTGCCAGGCGTCCTAGGATTGTGTATAGACCCTCCTGGCCTCGGCCAGCAGGGCGTATGCACCATGCCAGGGCCAGGATAGCCCTGGCTTGGCACGGTGGTGGTGTGTAGGTGCCTTCTGCGTATGCCTTGGCGGCACGGTGCGATTCCTTTCGAGGTGTGTGGCGTGGCTGTCGCCGGGGCGCACGGCTTGGGCGTACACCGCTTCCCCGTGCAGGAGGAGGAGACGAGGAGGAGGAGGAGGAGGAGGAGGAGGAGTAGGAGGAGGAGCAGGAGAAGGAGGGGGAGCAGGAGGGAAAGGGGAGGAGAGGAGGAGGAGGAGAGGAGGAGGGGAGGAGGAGGAGGAGGAGAGAGGAGGAGGAGGAGGAGAGGAGAGGAGAGAGGAGGAGGGGGAGGAGGAGGAGGATGATGCCCGCGGGGTAGAGCGACCGTGTCGAGCCACGATCACCCCCGCGCGCGCCCCCGCGCGCGCCCTCGACTCGGCGTGGTCACGCGCCCGAGGCCGCCAGTCAGGCCTCACCTCTCGCAGCCCGCAGCAGCCTAGCCACCTTGGCGGCCAGGCCTGGCGAGCAGCTTCGCTCTCGCGCTCGGCGCCGCGGCCTCGGCCAGCCGCCGCCGCCGCCCGCAGCCCCTGCTTCGCTTCCAGCAGCAGGGCCACCTGCAGGCGGCTGGCTCTCCTCCTGCCGCCTGGCCACCTTGGCCTCGCCGCCGCCGCCCACAGCCCCTGCTTCGCATCGAGCAGCAGGGCCACCTGCAGGCGGCTGGCTCTCCTCCTGCAGCCTGGCCACCTTGGCCTCGCGATGCGGCGACGGCGCAGGACTGCACGCGCGCCTGCAGCGCCGCTGGGGCGCACCTCCTCCCCCTCCGCCAGCAGGCGGCTCCTCCAGCGTGGTCACCAGCAGCTCGTCCACGCCGACCTCCTCAGGGCCGCCCGCTAGCGGCTGGCTCTCACGTCCTGGAGCCCCAGCGGCGGCCAACCTCGGCGAGGCGCCTCCGCCTCCACAGGCAGGCGGCGCTGCAGGCGTGGTCTCCTGCACGTCCGCCCCTCCAGCCACGGTGCTGGCCGCCGTCGTCTGGTCTGCACACCCGCCAGGCGCCCCCACGTCCAGCAACGCCCCACTCAGGTCGTCGAGGCGCGCGATGACTACTGGCACCACCCTTGCCGTGCGGGGCGCGAGCCCCCGCTGCAGCTTGGCCACCACCGCACTGCCCGCCTCGGAAGGCGGCAGCTTGCACTCACTGCTGAAGCCGCATGCCCTGGCGGCTCCCGCGAGCCCGCAGCAGCGGCAGGCGACAAACGGCATCCTGCGTTCCAGCTGCTCGTCCACGGCGGGGCGGATGACCACCAGGTCGTGGGCGGTGAGCCCCTGCTGCCTCAGCCTCCTGTTGGCTTTCGCCGCGTCCGCCACGATGGAGCCTGGGCATTCGCCCGCTTTCTCCTCCCACCTGCAGACCTCACACCACCTGGGCTGCCCAGGCTGCCCGCGCCAGGTGCAGGCCACCTGCGCGGCTGCGGCACGCCTCTCGGGAAGAGCCCGCTGCTGCTTCGCCTTGCCGTGCGTGGTGTCGCTGCCGTCTACCCAGGTGCCCACCGCCGAGCACCACAATGCGACCCTGTCGACGAGTCCTCGGCTAAGAGCAAGCATCATACGCTCACGGCCAGGCAAGCGTCCCGCTGCGGCAGCCTCCTTGGCCGCGCGGTCGGCCAGGCGATTGCCGTACCAGTCACGGTGCGACACCTTCCCAGCCACCACCTGCTGCCTCGTGCTGTGTCTGGGCACCCACCTCAGGTGCACCTCGCTTCCCAGGCCTCCGCGCTCATCCAGTAGAGCCCAAGCTTGCCTCCACAGGTGCGCCCACGAATGACCGCTGGCCGTCGTGCGCATACGCCCCACCTGGTAGAAACCGTCGGGCACGTACTTCGAGTCCACAACCAGCACGGTGCCACCGTTGCCGCACCTCAGCGCCATGATCACCGCCGTGCGCTCGCTGCCGTTGATGTCGACGTACGGGCCGACCATCTGTCCTGCGATCGACGCCCTGTACACGTCTTCGCCCTCCAGCAGCGCGACTGCACTCCAGCCCGCCGACACGAATTCGCCGTAGTCCGCCTCGAACACCGAGCCGCCCAGGAAAAGTTCACCAGCTGGCAGAACCCCTCCCTCATGATCACCCTTCCAGCAGACCAGGTCGCTGGCCTGAGGCTTGCGCAGCCCCCTCGGCACTGGCCACAGGCACCTGTCCAGCAGCAGCTGGGCCCCAGGCTCAGGCTATCTCCTCCTGAGGTCCGCCAGGCCAGGGGGAAGGGCCAGCACCTCTTGCCAGCTTGCACAGTCGCAGTGCCTGTGCATCAGGGTGCCCTCCAACCCGCACCTGAGGCACTCAGCGCTACTCGCCAGCCCCTTCTCCGCCTTTTCGTGCCTGCGTCCACTGCCCGTTGACGATGAGGGACCGCAGGTACGCCATCTCGCGCTGCGTGAGCCGCGCCTTGACCTTGCCAGCGCCTCCTCCCAGCAGACCCTCAGGGTGGTGCAATCTGCCTGTGGTGGTCAGCCTCACCAGCGGCTCGAGCTCGGGGCCTCCCGCCAGGTGGCCACACCCTGGGCCCTTGCTGACCTGCCTCCACTGCCACCGCTGTACTCCTCGCATGATCAGCTTGCGCACTACCCACGGCGCCACGCCGAGCGGCGCAATGGTGTCGCCGTCGTCCATGACCCAGCTGTTGGCCGCTGCCACCTCCCAACCGATCCTCCGTGCCCCCCCCCCCCTGTCCTGTAGGCAGCGTGCCACCATGTGGAGAGGCACCCAGCTCTCCCACACCGCCCGCAACAACATCATCACGGGCATGCATGTCGCGTCAATGATCGGGTCGAGCCCAGGCTGCAGCAGCAGTCCCAGCGATCTACTCTTGCTCGCCGTGGAGTTGGACACCGCCACGAACGTCATCGTCCTGGCGCGGTCCAGCTCGCCCATCGCACGCCCCGTGCTGGCCGTGCCGTAGCCGATGCTAGGGTGCAGCCCTGTCTTCACCACCCTCCTCGTGGCGAACCTCTTGGCCTTCACCATTTTCAGCACTTTGCACTTCCTCAGCCATTGCCCCGCCTGCTGGAAGCGTCCCGCGCGCACCGCGCGCCCCAGCCTCTTGCCCCCGCTGAAGTCGACTCCAGGGTTGCGCTCCTGCCGCGCCGCCTGCGCCCCCAGCGGCTTGCGCAGCCTCCTCTCCAGCTCCTGCCTCGCCTCAGGGAAGTTGGCGAGCGCCCTGGACTTCTTGACAGCGACCGCCAGGGCCACCTCGCCGAGCAGGGCCTCGAGATGCCTGGCCGCTGTCGCGATGTCCCTGACGACGCGCTGCAGGCCACCAACCCTCCTGATCATGATGTCATCCACGACCACCGAGAGGGCCACCGTGGGTACCAGCGCCTGCAGCCTACCCAGCGGCTCCAGCAACAACATCTTGAGCATGAGCGTCGCCAGCCCATCCCCTGGCAACACGGCCTGCTCCGTGTAGGTGGCGTCGCTGACAGCCTTGTCGCGCGCCAGCCACCTGGCCGACCTATACAGGCTGATCTGCAGCTTGAGCTGCCACAAGGGAAACCCAGTCCTCCTCGCAGCGCGAATGAGGTGTCCGTGCTCCACCTGCTCGCACGCCTTGAGTAGGCCCAGGAGCACCAGCGCGGCGACCCAGCAGGAGGCGCCACCCGCATCACGTCCTTTGGCCGAGGCCCACTCGCACTCCACCGCCTGCTGCCGGACCGCCCTCTCGCAACCTTTCCCTCTGGACGCCCAGAAGGAAGGCCGATCGATCTTGCGCTCCCACTCGACCGCCGCTGGCCTGCGCAGCCTCGCCTGAATCCTCGCGAGCGCGTGGGCGATGGCCACCGGCCTCACACCTCCTAACCGCTTGGCCAGGAACACGATCTTGTTGTTCAGCTGTGGCTACTCCGCCGCCTGCTCGACCGCCATCACGACGTCGATGAGCGTCTCGAGGCCCTCGTCGCTGAGCACCAGGAGCTGCCGCGGCTGGATCGCCTCGAAGCCCGCCGCGGTGCCCATCCTGAACGTACGTAGCACCACTTTCATCTCCTCCACTGAAGGCCTGCTCGGCCTCACGCCCAGGTCGTCTGGCCACGCCAGATCTTCATGGGCGCGCCGCACTCGCCACAGCTTGCCCAATTCCTGCTCGAGGGCGTCCAGCTCCTGGCATAGGCTGTGGGGCTCTGCCGAGGAACTACAATCGCTGCCTTGCCAGCCCACGGCCACTCTCGTGACCGCGTGCAGCCCTACTGCCCCCCCCTTCAACTGCCTGTCGACCCACTCGTCGAACCGCCTGCCGCGCTCGTCGATATCGCGCTTGGCCAGCTGGTGGGCGCGCAGCTTGGCCAGCCCGGCCAGGGTCAAGAGTGCCGCGGGGTCCCAGCTCGCAAGCCCCGCGTGCTGCAGCACCCGCAACCACCTGCCCGCCTCTGTGCTGGCGTGGTTGTCTCCCTGCTCGCTCTCGGCCTGCTCTTGCCACTTCCTGACCCTCTGAGGCACCAGCTCCGCCAGCCTAGGCAGGAAGTCGAGCGCATCAATCCTACCTCGGGGCGTCTGGGCTCTCGCAGCGGCCTCCAGCGTGCTAGCCGCTCTCGCCATCCACGCCGCCTCAGGCGTGCGCCTCGGCGCCCGAGGCTCCTGAATCCCGCTGCGCCGCGCCTTCTTGGTGGAGAAGCCCTGCGCCCTGCCCACGTACCTGGCCCTCTGGTCCTCCAGCTGGTACACGTCCAGCCACTCCTCCTCTGCGCACTCCAGGAAGGTGGCGAAGGCGGCGGCGAGGGCGTCCTTGGCGCGAGCACCCTCGCGCTCCACCTCGCCTGCGCAGCCGCCCCGCTTCTCCTCCTGCTCCTCCGCGCGCCTCCACGGGAGGATGGCGGCCTTCTCTCCCCAGAGGCTGGGGGGCCTCACGTATGCTCCTTCAGCCACTTCAACCTGAAAGGGACTACCCGCGATTCCATACGGTGCCTGGCTCGGATGCATACCGCCAGCCCCAGCATGGGGGGGTGCTCCTGGGCAGCCTCGATGCCCCTCCTGCGTCGCCGCCTCCTCCTCTAGCCCGCGCTGCATCCCGCAGACCTGCAGCGTGTCGTGCCAGCCTGCACCGTGCTGCATGCAGCACCTGCTCAGGCTGCCTCCTGAGACCTCGGCGGCCAACGCGGGCGGAGGCGGCGGCGCACTGCTGAGGGGGCCCCACCTCGCCCGCTGGTCCTTCTGTAGTTTTTTCGAGGATGCCGTCGGCAGCGCCTCGGGGCCACCACCTTCCCTCATCACGCTGCTGCTGGCCAGAGCCACCGAACCCGTCAGCCTCACGTGGTTTTCCGAGGATGCCGTTGGCAGCGCCTCGGGGCCACCACCTTCCCACTTCGCTTGGCCTCCAGTTGGCAGCGGCGCGGCCCTCCTGCGGCCTCGCCTGCTGGCCCTCGTCGTCGACCAGCCTGCGTGCCCCTGCGGCGTGGCCAGCGCCCCCCTCAGCTTCCTGCGGTTTTTCGAGGATGCCAGTGGCAGCGCCTCGGGGCCACCACCTTCCCTTTGCGCGCGCCTCCATGCGCGCCACCTCCGTCTCACGCGGTTTTTCGATGATGCCGTCGGCAGCGCCTCGGGGCCACCACCTTGTCTTCGCACGCGGGCGAACCTTAGCCTCAGCGCCATCCTATAGCACCCTCTCCTGCTCGCCTGCCGCTGCTGCCATGACTGGTCCCAGCTGCTCCCTCACGCGCCCCCTCGCCTGCAACCAGCTGCTGTGGTGGCCCCTCGCACAGCATCCGTGCGGCCTGACCTCAGGGAAAGCCCGAGGCCCTTGCATCACCCCCATGGCGCCCTCCATCTTCTGCTTGGCGACCTCGACGATGACTGCGCGCGCGGGTACACAGGCGAGCCCACCACCACCTGAGCTCCCTGCGCGAGCAGCCCGCGCGACGCCAGGAAGTAGTCGACGATCCGCCCTGACGCCATACAGGTAGGCCCCGCTGGTCTGACCACGGACGCGTCGAACAGCGCCAACACCCCGCCTGCCTGCAGCTCCTCCTCGCTGAGATTTCAGTTCCCGCCAACCACGTACTCTCTGCGGCACTGCCTGAGCCTCCTCGCCAGCAGCTTGAGACTCGACATGTTGCTGAGGTTGAGGCCCACCCCCGCCTCCAGGTACAGGTTGGCAAGCAGGAGACCACCGCCACAAACTCCCGACACCGAGTGCACATGCACCCTGCCGTCCACCACCACCGCCGCCTGGTGATCCTGGACCTCCGCCATCCCGTGGCAATGTCGCACCATGGTGATGAGCCCTCCTGTGCTGAGCCCCCCCTGACTCACATCGTACCGCTGGCGAACTCTTCGCCCGCCATCCTTGACTACGGAGCTGAGCCTCGGCATCTCCACCCCGTCCCTCAAGCAGCCTGGTCTCCTGCACCAGGATGGCGTTGCAGTTCTGCACCTCCTGCACCATCAAGCACTTGCCCAGGCTGCTGAACGCGTTTACATTGACCGTGCAGATCCTCCAGACGCCAAGCCCCTTGCTAGGTCTCTGCGTCCATCTCCTCCTCTCCCGTGCGCACCATCTCGGCCTCGTTGATGAGTGCCTCAGCCGCCTTCCTCCTGTCAGGGTCCACGAACTGCTCCTCCAGCTCCTTCCAGGCCTGCTGCACCTCAGGGGATGGCTGCTGCGGCCGAGGCTAAGCCCCAGCAGACGGCCTTGCCGCAGCCCCTGCCCTCGTGGCTGCAGCAGCGCCAGCCACCGCAGGAGGCGGCTGCACAGGATCTGGCTCTCCAGACCCCTCACCTGCAGCCTTGCTCTTCCACTCGAACAGCCTCTCGACCGCCTCGGACAGCTTGACGAACTCGTGGCTGAGCACTGGGCTCGCCTCCACCCCGCTGGACTTGGCCCAGCCCGCGAGCGCCGCCTTGACCTCATGCAGGGAGGCAGGGGTAGCAGACGCTGCTGTAGCCACCTCAGCTGCCACAGCGGTCTCCGCCAGCCTGGCACTCTGAGCCGCCAGCGCCTCGCGCGCCCTGGCGGCTGCCTCAGCCAGCTCCTGCCGCAGCTGCACCAGTTTCTCCGTGAGGTCCGCCGTCTCGTTGATGGCCGCCCTCGCCTTCGCCCTGGCCAGCTCCAGCAGGTGCTCCGTCCGCTTGACCTTCTGCGCCTTCTCGTCGGCCAGCAGCTGGGCCGCTTTGACGGCCTTATTCTTGGACAGGTCGTCGCCTAGCCCCTCACGCACCAGCCGCCTGGCCTGCTGGAGCTCGTTCCTGATCCTCGCGCTGAAGAGCTTGGTCGCAATGGCGAACTGCACATCCGACATGCTGACGAGCTCGCGCCGCTCATCGTCACAGAGCACCATCCCCGCAGCACGCTGACCTCCTTCACCGCCCTCATCACCTCGCCACCACGGCGCACGGGTCGCAGGCGCGCCAGCACCGGCACGCCCACCACGCCCGCCACCGCCAGCGCCAGGAGCACCGCCACGACCTGAAGCCCCCTGCGGGAGGAAGCTGCCCAGGACCCTCTGCGACGGCTTGCCGCCCCCGTGGCACCCGAAGCGACAGCACTTGCGCTCGGCGAAGTTGTAGTAGCCACACTCCTGGCACACCCATCCCGCGGGTCCGTCTGAGCGACCTCCTCCACGCCCCTGCCCCGCGCCGCGCCCCATCGCGCGCGAGAAACTGGAGGAAAGGCGCCCGACTGCCAGAGCAGAGAGACTCTTGCCTGCCGCGGACTAGCGGTATCCGTGCAAACCCCGCGGGAACCAGGCATCTTGAGCCAAAATGGCTACGGAGAGGGAGGAGGAGGAGGAGGAGGAGGAGGAGGAGGAGGCGAGGAGGAGGAGGAGGAGGCGGAGGAGGAGGAGGAGGAGGAGGAGGAGGAGGAGGAGGAGGGAGGGGAGGAAGGAGCAGGTGGCGGAGTAGGGAAGAGGGAGAAGGCCAGAGGCGGGAGGGAGGGAGGGAGGGGGAGGAGGAAAGTACAAGGGACATGAGGAGGAGGAAAAGGGGTAGGGTGAGCAGGGGGTTAGGAGTAATAGAAAGTACATGGGAAGAGGGACGACGGAGGAGGAGCGAGAGAGCATGGTGGGACTATAGAGGGAGTAGAGAAGACCATGGAAGAAAGAGGGATGAGGGATGAATATGGTATTCATGACGGCAACGAGAATGTGTTATGATGATGGCAATGATGACGATGACGAGGATTAATCATTCTCTTACACCGCGCCGCCGACCCCTTGGGAGACCTGCATGCATCTTTGCTGGGAGGCGCTGTGTTGGAAGTGTCTTGGCGCGGGGCGCCCATCTGGGACGCCCAGAACCGCGTTCAGTAGGGTCTATGTCGTATCGTTTTGGAGCCTCTGTGGGTCGTTGTTGGTGACATGTTGGGAGGGCGTGGAGCCATCTTGCGGGGGAGGGCCTTCTTGGGCTCCTCCCAGGGCCCTCACGTGGGTCTCTTGGGCGGTGTTCGGGGGCCTCTCGACCATCCTGGGGCCCTCTTGGGCCGGATTCGGGCCTTCTTGGAGGTCTTTGTCTGCCGTCTTGGGGCGATCTTGAGGGCTTCTCGATTTATCTTAGACACCCTGAAGATCGACACGGCGAGAGCGACACACATACATGTGTACATACTCACATACATACACGCATACATCCATACATACCTATATACATGCATACACACATACATACATACATACACACAAGCATACATGCATACACACATATATGCATGCAGGCATACATACATACAGTTGTACACACATATGTATATGCATATGTACCTATCTACAGCTATACAGACACACTTACATACACACATACATACATACATACCTACCTACCTACCTACCTACATACATACATACATACATACATACATACATACATACATGCATACATACGTACGTACGTACGTACGTACGTACAAATGTACATACACACATACACACATACATACATACATACATACATACATACATACATACATACATACATACATACATACATACATACATACATACATACATACATACATACATATATACACACACATACATACATACATACATACATACATACATACATACATACATACATACATACATACACACATACACACATACACACATACATACATGCATACGCATACACATACACATACACCTACACCTACACATACACATACACATACACACATACACACACATAGAGACATGCAGATATGCACATATGTATGCATACATCCATACCTGTTCCCATACATGTATATATAAGTTCACTTGGATGATCGTAATGATTGAAAGGAAATGGTTCCCACAAGTTGATGGATTGATGGATGATTGATGGATGATGGTAATTCACACAAGTTTCCCATCCCAGCGTCTAGAATTGGTATGGACAGGATGATGGTAATGATTGAAATGAAGATGACGACGACGATGCTGATGATGACGAATCTGGTGGCGAAGATGATGACGATGCGGCGGTGATAGCTGTCAAGATGGTGACGATGATGGGGACGAGGGGGCAATAAGGAGGCAGGAGTACAGACGGAATGTTGGCTGGCCCACCGCGCTTCGCGACCCGCTATTCACGTCTCCAGTTCCAAGCGTCAGCCTCCCGAGTCTTTCCGAGCTCCCCGCTCCGCGGAGCAGGCTGCGCGCTATCAGCTCGCAGGACATGGCGTGTCGCTGGGTCTGCCGCCGCGACTCGCTGAGAGGGGAGGAGGAGGGATTACGAGCAGGAGGAGGAGGAGGAGGAGGAGGAGGAAGAGGAGGAGGAGGAAGAGGAGGAGGAGGCGGTGTCTCCGGCGCCCCGCCGTCAAGCCACAGACTTAACTGAGCTCTGCCTGCCCGCTCGCGACAAGCGCGGCCGCCAGCGCCTCCCTGCCTCGCTTGGGGGCTCCAGGCGGGCAACGCACGGCCCCCGCGCTACCTCGCTCAGCAAGGCAGCCGCATGCAGCGTGGACTCTCGTCGAGGGCAGGAATGCGATGGCCATGACCCAGACGTCGCGGGATCTCTCGAAGAGCGCCACTAGTTTATGTTTATAGCGTTTTTTCTCTCCTAGTAAGACGATGGCCATGACCAAGATGTCGCGGGACCTTGTCGACACCGACCTTAGTCATGGTACACGCATGCCGTCGCCGATGCGCGTGGTTTTGTTCCACGAGTCGGCGGTGACCAAGATAGATGGGGACCAAAATGATCCACGAACCGACGGCCATCCACGTGTCCGCGTTCAGTTCTGGTCATGGTCACAGTTTTCTGCCCCTCCACTTCGGAGGTCCGCGCGGATTTGAGCCAACTACCCTATCCTGTGGCGATGACGGGCGTAGGCCGAAGGGGGGGAGAGGGAGACGGTTACGGCACGATTTGTGCTGGCGCCGTCTGGGAATGTTGTGCCCCCAGCAATTCCCAGATTGTTGAGGCGCCCCCGTTGAACGAGCGTTACCGCGAACAGCTAAGGGAGCAAAGCATCCCTCTTTCCTGAGGCGGCGGTGGACGCCCCATGAAGTCTGCGCGGACCTCCGAAGAGTCCTTGTTCGTGTAGTCTGGTCTCTCGGCCGGATCCTCCATCAGAATTCGATGCTTGCAAGGTTTGACGAGCGAACGGCAACGTTCATGGAGACTTCCTGGCCGCCCGAGGCCTCTCTACGTCCGCTGGTGCCTCGCGGGGGCCTCGCGGAGGCCCTGCTGGCACAAGCCTCCGAGCGGGACCTCTGCGGGGGACTCCTGCCGGGCCCCTCTGAGAGGACCTTTGGAGGCGGGGGCGCCGCCAGACCACGACGGCCCAGGCCCAGGAGGAGGAGGAGGAGGAGGAGGAGGAGGAGGAGGAGGAGGAGGAGGAGGAGGGTGGAGGAGGAGGAGGAGGAGCAGGAGGAGGAGGAGGAGGAGGACCAGACTCCTCGCGTCGTGGAGAAGAGGCGACGGGAGATTGTTGCATTCTTCGCAGAACAAACACCAGCGTAAACATAAGCTTCTGGCGCTCACCGCGGATGTCTTGGATCCGCGCTGGGCCCCCCCCGGCGGCGCCTCCGGCGCCGCCCCTGGCGCGCTCCGCGCGTCAGGGAGGGGGGGCCCAGCGCAGATCCAGGAAATCCGCGCGGAGCGCCAAAAGTTCAGTTTTATGCCTTATGCCACTTCTTCTTCTCCTATAGAAGATGCGACGGGAGAGTTTGCATTCCGTGTCGGCGGGGGGGCCTCACCGGACCCCCGGAGACCATAGTTTCACAATCAATGTGGGTCGGGTCGGGCGGCAAGGGCCACGGGGGTATCGAGGATTGCAGGGGGCTCCTCCCTGAAGGGGCCCGCCCAGAGGCCCCCAAACTCCGACCGCGGGCCCGAAAGGTGCGCGAGAGAGGTGCGCGTTGCTTCGCCGCACGCTGCCTGCCGCCCCCCCCCCCCCGCCCTCATGGAACGCCCGGTCGGAGCGGAGGGCCGGCGCCGGAGAGCGGGGCCCAGATACCGCGCTGGGGGCCCACGCGGCGCAACGAGCACAAGACCTCGGACTGCCGCGGGGGCGGCCGAGCCTCTCGGGGGTCCCTTCGAGCTTCCTGGGAGCCTCTTGGGGGCCTCGTTGGGCCTCGTGGGGGCCTCGTGGAGGCCTCGTGGGGGCCTCCGGGTGTGGTGGCCTCTTGGGGCCTCCGGGAAGCTCCTCGGGGCCGAGGGCTGGAAACGTTCGTTCGGGCTCCCGTGTGGGTACCCTCTTGGAACCGTTCTGGTGGCGACCCGAAGAGGAATCACGCTGTCGCTGGGCGCTTGGGGACGTCACCGGGTGAGCCGTTCCCGCAGGCTCGTGCAAGGAGAAGTTGGCCTTCCAGCAAGCGCCCCGCGGACTTTCCTGATCCCCTGGTGGCCCCAGGGACGCACAGAAGCTTTGAGGCTCCTCGTGGCCCTCAAAGATCGTCGAGGCATTGTGCGCCAAGATTGCTTACAGCGAGATTTCGGATCGCATGTGTCTGCCGTCCAGGGGACAACTTCAGGGGGATAGGCCCAGGAAGGAACGCATCGACCCCCAATGGCCCACTCATCGCCGATAGGGGCCCGATAGCCGCCCACCCTACCCAGGACCGAGCAGATTCTCTATCGGGGGCCTATCGCCGATCTGTATATGCGATGTATCGCCGATGCAAGCTCGGTGCACCCCCCCTGAACCGGTCCCCTCCTAAAGTTCCCTTTTACCTAACAGCGAAGACTGATAGGTTTCTAGTAGGGTCGAAAGAGAGCATCATGACTCCCCAGGGGGGTCTGGGCAGATGCCAGACGGGTGCTGGGGAAAACCGGAGACGCCTTTTTTAGCTAACAGTGACGCACTTCGTGGTCTTCGAGTTCCCAGAACTCCATTCCTGGGCATGATTTTGAATGCCCGGAGCCAACTGTAGGCCACTTCGTGTTCTTCGAGTTCCCAGAACTCCATTCCTGGGCATGATTTTGAATGCCCGGAGT